GCTTAAAAACAAACAATTGAAGAAACCGAGGAGTCGGGTCACGGGTGGGAGTTGTTAGAGCTAACCACACATCCCCTGTATCATCAGCCATGGTGCCTCTATCAATTTCAGTTCACTGTACCAAGCTTTCCACCACTATAAATTCGCCATTTCTCAAGCATTATTCATCACTCAATTATCCACTTGCTCTTCATTTTCTGAAAGAAACTAAGCCCAGTTTCTTTCTTTCTCGTTTCCCACGTTCTTCACGTAATTTCATTGTCTCTTACAAGGTAAAATTTTGTGATTTTGTTCATGTTTCGGGACTAATTTGAGGTGGGCTTCTTTTGATGTTGTGAAATAAGTTTATTAATGAAGTGTGTGTGTGAAAATTTTTGCAGGGTAGTGAAGTAGAATTTAATAAAGTTAAGAAAGCCATGACGATCAAGCCAGCTGTGAGGATTGCAGACCGGAAACTGGTGGTGAAGGACAGGACTTTACTGAAGAATGTGCCGGACAATGTTATTGCCACCTCCGGAGCTGCTTCGGAGCCGGTGGAGGGGGTATTTTTGGGGGCGGTTTTCGACAAAGAAAACAGCCGGCAAGTTTTGCCGCTTGGGACACTGCGTGATGTGCGTTTTTTGTCCTGCTTTAGGTTCAAGTTATGGTGGATGGCACAGAAAATGGGGGACAAGGGCCGTGATATTCCATTGGAGACACTATTTTTGCTCTTGGAAACTGCGGATGGATCTCACTTGGAATCAGATATTAATGGCGATGACGAAAATAAAGTTGTTTATACTGTGTTTTTGCCCTTGATTGAAGGTCCCTTTACGGCTTGTCTGCAGGGGAATGATCAAGATGAACTTGAACTGTGTTTGGAGAGTGGGGATTGCAACACCGTTGGATCATCGTTTACGCATTCGGTATACATCAGTGCCGGAACTGATCCATTTGGGACAATATACGAGGCGATCCGGGCCGTGAAATCCCATCTCGGAACATTCAGGCTGAGGCATGAGAAGAAATCGCCTGGAATTGTGGATTACTTTGGATGGTGCACTTGGGATGCATTCTACCGAGAGGTTACTCAGGAGGGAGTTGCAGCCGGGCTCGAGAGCCTCGAGGCCGGTGGGACCCCTCCGAAGTTCGTGATCATCGATGATGGATGGCAATCAGTTGGCACAGATGAGGAGAAGGAAAAGAAAGAACAAGAGCAGGCATCCCTGCTGAGGCTTACCGGAATCAAAGAAAATGAGAAATTTCAAAAGAAGGACGATCCCTCGGTGGGGATCAAGAACATAGTCAACATTGCGAAAGAAAAGCATGGATTGAAATACGTTTATGTGTGGCACGCGATCACCGGTTATTGGGGTGGGGTTCGACCTGGAGTGAATGGCATGGACGAATATGGATCGGCTATGAAGTATCCGATGTTGTCCAACGGAGTCCTAGCTAATGAGCCGGGGTGGAAAACTGATGCAATTGCACTGCAGGGGTTAGGTTTAGTGAACCCGAAAAATGTGTACAAGTTTTACAATGAATTGCATAGCTACTTGGCTGCTGCTGGAATAGATGGCGTGAAGGTTGATGTGCAATGCATCTTGGAGACCCTCGGGGCCGGTCTTGGGGGCCGGGTCGAATTGACCCGCCAGTATCACCAGGCTCTTGATGCATCTGTGACTAGGAACTTTCCTGATAATGGATGTATTGCCTGCATGAGCCATAACCTTGAATCCCTTTATTGGTATGTGTCTGATCCTTTTCCTAAAAAAGATCTACATTTTCTTGATATATTGGCATGCTTTTTGTTGATTAGTGTATTTAGATCAATCTGTTATAGTCATTGAATATAT